AAATCATTGTTTCAGGTTTCTGGATAAAATCTAAATGAAACTTTTACTACATTCTAATTTTCAGAGACAAGTTATTTGGGCTTTTTTACAAAAAGTTACAAGCAAACCAAAATTGAGTTTTGCTTAAGTGTGGCCTAAAACTGGTGAATGCAACATGGAACAATTCCCAGAGCGAGCAGGCTCTTGGCACAGAAGAGTAAAAAACTCCACACATATATACAGGGTGAGATGGCAAACGAGGCTGGGAGTGCAAGTTTCACCGTGGCTCAGCCAGGAATAGGCCTAGGGTTCCCCAAAGCAGCTGGCAGGTGACCCCGCTGGCCCCTCCCACTGCTTCTGCTTCCTGGGCTCTTCAGTGGACTGTGTGGATAAAAGCTCCTCACTCCTGGGGCTATGATGAAGCCCACTAACCCATCAAGGTGAAGGCCACTGCTGTAAGCATTCAAGTGTGTTAGCCATGGCTACACTTTCCCTGCACACACCTCACTCTCCTCTCGCCCTGGCTGTCTTCCACGCGCACAAGTCTCTCGTCAACATTTATGTTACCTGGCCAGACCCCTCTCCGCATATGCAGGTGTTGACAGCTGCCCCTCTCGGAACCCAGTATGCGAAAGACCAAACTTCCAAACCAGGACTCAGCTCACAGTAGCCTTGGAGCCAGGTACTCACAGGAAGGACAGGGAGGAATATTATCTTCCCAGATAATTAAGCCATGGAGACTATCAGAGGGCATTCCATAGAATTTCCACAAAAATGGGAATCCTCAGAGTCGCTTTTCAATTCAAAGCTAATTCATGTAAAACAGAGTTTAAAAAGGGCCACAAGAAAACACTTTACAAAGAGACAAGTTACAGCAACTCTCATCGTACACACTCAGCTTACACCAAACTGTGAGGCCAATTCTGTTCCCACGCAGGCTGCTCTCTCAGGTCTGCCAGACTCCTGGCCAGCTCTCCCTCTCCAGCTCAGACTCTAGCTTAGGTTTCTGGCTTGGTTTTAGCGCCCCAGAGGCTCAGGCAGCCAAGCGGCAGTTCTGAGCACCACCTTGTGGTCGCACTTAGATACTGCACCTTGGCAATCCTTTCGACCCCTGCAGCTTGTGCTGGACAAGAGTCTCTGGGGATAGAGAACACTAACCTCAACTCAGAATCAGAGGCGCTGGGCCACAGCCAGATGGTACCCAGCTCCTCCGGACTCTGGCCTGCAGCCTCCAGACCCTGCAGCCCTGACCACTGCTGGGTCCAGGCTCTTGCATGCCCGAGATGCAGAAGCATGAGAACCAGAGGATCTATCCATTTAGCAGAGTTTAGTGCAGTGTTGGCTGATTGCACTGACCCTAGGCTTCCCTCGAGGCCCTCTCCCACACTGTGCAGAGCACAAGAAGGATTTCAGAGAAACCAACACAAAACCAAAAAGGAAAAAGTATATAAAATCAATTTATGGCAGGGGTGTAGCTTAGCAGTAGAGCACTTGCCAAGCACGTACAGAGCCCTGAGTTCAAATCCCAGAATCACACACACACACACACACACACACACACACCAAAAAACTCAACTCACAGACATCTGATAGTTCCCAAGCCAGAAATTTTCTCAGAATCCTGTCCTCAGCCCCAGGCTGGGCCCCCAAGCCAGCACCTCCAGAGGTAGGGCTCTTGGTGACTCTGCAGAATCAGTGTCTGGACTGAGACTTCTGCTTCCATCTGTGCTCCTTGCTAAGAAGCAGGGGTAGTTATCTGAGCAGCTTAACAGCTGACAGGCAGAAACAGACGTAACAGCTTCCAGGAATGGGCTACAGTAAACGATAAATGCCAACTCAAGTCCCACCAGCAAGGAGACCTGCCCCAAGCAGTGCTGACCCTGTGGGGAGAGGCCTGAGTCTGTGACACTTCTGCTTTAGTGTGTCAAAGCTGGCATCAGCTGGTACAAGTGTGCTGTGCTCCCTCCTTGACCCCCACACTCAGGACAGACATCATGCAGGGATGTGGCACGCTCTCCCAGTCAACACAAACAGGGATCCAGCCTCCCCTGGCCAGACGATGGGCGCACACAGGCCAGGGCAGGCACACACCCATCTCCATCCTCAAGTGGACAGCCCCCTGCAGGTCACAGCCACCACACCACCTGGAGAAATGCTGCACCTCCTTTCCTCAATGATGAACCTGAAATTTGGGGGCAAATGTGAAAAGTTTTGAACCTGCACATCAAGGTCTACATCCACATATCTGAGTGAGCAACAGCTGAGGCCCTACACAAGGGAGTCTCCTCCAGCCCGTCCTGACCCCTCAGTCTGAATCTACTATTCCCTGTGCATGGGTTAGGTATTATCTGTGTACAAGGCCCCTAAAAATCCTGTACAGAACCCTCAAGGCCAGCCCTGGAATGAGAATGGACGTTCATGCAGTGGCATATAGAAGAAGTGTGGAAACTGACCTTCACGTCCAACAGAGCAGCCAGTCAATAACTAGAAATAACAAGATCTGGATGCAAGTCCCACTGTTGGGGAAAAGTCAGTGTTTTGGGCAGCTCTGGGCTGTCCTGCCTTCCTGCCTAGACCAGGCAAGCAACATGAGGTACTTACCAAGACATACCATTCAAATATTGAATTCACATTAGCTCTGCTGGTCTTATCTGGCTCCCGGAGATCTTGGGCCTAAGATTTCTAAATGGCAACATATTCTGAGAAAAATCCATAACCTGGTAGAAAGGAGTAGACCCTGCACACATCACCACAGGTAAGAATTCACAGAACATGGACGTACGAGCAGCTATTCATCAGGGCTAAGGGCCAACAGAAAGACCACAAGGGGGCACCACTAAGGACCAGCCACCAAGGCAGCTATATCCACTGCAAGAGAAAGTGCACAGGAGTTTAAAATATAGACACAACAGCCAAGACTGACCTGAGGTTTTGGGCTGACTCAGAGAAAGCAAGATCATGACTGCCACTTCCCAACTGCAGAAAAGGCCACGCTGTAGAAAAGACCTGACAGAAACTTCCTACCTAAAGCACCAGGTCAAACAGGTATCTGGCTAGGACAACTCAGCTGATGAAAGGCCTATAACGTCCAGTCTTAAATAAGAAAGGTGGTGAGCTGTCTAGCAGTTACCTACTCTAACTTCCAAGAGTTTCAAGAGAAAAGTAACTAACCTGCCATCACCAATATGTATTTGTTACATTTTATATAAGGTTCCCAGCCTGAATACATCCTCAATTCTAACCAGTAAGAAAAAAATGCATCTTCTGTATATAAACTATATGGCTTTACAGTGATCACTTGTCATCAAATAATTGCTAAGATAAGCAATTCTAAGTCCCTTTTCTTCACTCAAGGAAATGCCACTACTATTTCAATCATCTACAAAGATCAGCAACAGTTAACTTATAAAACGCCTGGAAGTTCTTAAATATTAATAAAATTCTCAATTCTGATCATTTTATTTTCTTTTAACATTCCCCAAACCAAAGAGTACCAAAGGAGATGTAATACAAACATTTCAATGTGGATATCTGTAGCTTAACAGCCTTAATAACTAGCTATAAAATTTTAAGAGCTATCGTATTTCAGTGACAATTAGAGTTATTGGTATTTCTGAAATGCATTTGAGATTTTACTGTAACTTTAGCAAAAAAATTGGCTTTATGATATGGCTTTGGAAATAATAAATTGTTTCACAATCTTAACATTATTAAGACAAACTTATTGCCATGAAATTAAGCTACACCTATATTTAAAATTCAATCAAAATAAATTGCTCTTGATCAAAATAGTTTTGTATTTTAAATATATTTAATATTGACCTGGTTTAATGAGAATATATATTGCTCCATTTCTAATCAATATGTGAAGATTAACACTTTTATTAATCTTCTATAGTAGTTAAGAAAAGGACCAACACCACTCATTGTCCAAGAGTATTGAGCAATATTTCTCTAATAATGTTACAGACACTAAGTGTGCACACTAACTGAAGTTGCAGAGGAAATGACAAATAGAAGCCACTCAGCTACACAGTACTGCATAAGAGCTATATTTAAGCCACGGGTCCTTCAATTATTTTTAAACAACACTGGTGCATCCGCTTTGGATCTGCATTTGGGTCAGGAGTGTTGTCAACAAGAAAAGAAAAACTACCAGTCAACCGTTACCCATGAAGGCCAGTGGAAAGCTACAAGAAATACAACATACTAGGTCTCCTCCCATTTAGAAATATTGCTGAGGACTAGAAAAAAGTCCATGTTAAATATTTTAAAAATACTGTGATCCCTTTCCCCTAGCTTCCTCAGGGCTCCTACAGCTAATGCATGTGTTGTGCTCAGCAACACTGTGGAGAGACTACAGTATGTGGCCTGCCATTCCTGGCTTGCAGAACACATGGCCACAGTGATTCTAACTTCACGTTACATACCTTCACTTCCCTGTCATCTCCCTTACATCACACCCTGACAGTCACAGGGGTCAACACCAAGGTCAGGCTATGACATAAACAACGACCTTGAAATGGAAGGCACACCATGTATACCAAGCATACTTCTGGCATGATGATGGTTACAATTCTGCAAAAGATAATTTTTTCAAGGCAAGAAAGGGAGGTTTAAGAAAGCAAGCTTGAACCCTGTGCAGTTACTATCTTGCTTCAAAAGGAAAACAAAAGCACAAAAATAACCCTGCAGGAGGCATGCATAAGACCACCTCTGCCCATCCTAACACTCACTGAAGGGTGACCACTCCAACCAAAGGCCACACAGCTCACGCTCTGGTCCTCTCCATGTTCCTGTCCCATCCTCTCCCAACCTCTTCTAAGATATGCTCTGATCTGAATAAAGACCCAGAAGTAGCTGCCTTTGGACCAGCCACAGAGAGGACTCGGACTGCTGGCTCTAGCAGGCCATGGCTGCAGAAGTCCCACTTGCCACTAAAGGGGCACAGCACTATCACAGCATCTAGAACCCTTACACAGTACTAAGTAAGCATCTACCTAACGCCAAGCAAGACTGACCTTAACCGCTGCTTATAATAATCTTCATCTCCATCGTCACAGCACCTCACTACTTTTCGACCCGTTCCTCCTCCACCTTCTGTGGCTTCTGCTTCTTCCCCAGAACTTGGGGAAAAATTGTCATCACTCTTCCACGGTGGGACTTTCTTCTGGCGTTTCTGGCCCCTGAGCACAGGCCTCAGCTCACAGTCTGCGACATCTCTGGACAGGTCAGCCCCTACCTCATCCCTGCCTCCCTCTTCCTCCCCCTCGGAGGGAAAGGATCCCAACTCCTCACCCTCCTCATCTCCCTTTGTCTGCAGCCTTGCCTCTGCCTCTAGGGGCCTCTTCCCCCTGGGCAGCCCCACTTTCCCCTGGAACTGCAGCGCCCTCTTCTGGAGCTTCCTGATGTGCTTCTTCAAACGCCAGTCTGTTTTGGAGAGAACTTTGCTTCTCTGCTTTGGTTTTTTTTCTTTCGATTGTGCACTTGACTCAGACTTGACCGAGGGTGGAGCTTTTCTGGATGCTCTTTTATTAGCAGCTTGCTTCTTCCTTTCAAAAGACAGTTTTGCTTGATCTGCCAAATACTTCTCAAAGCCTGATGCCTCATTGAGCATTAGTTTTCTAGGCTTTTTCTCTGTTTTCTGAGGGACACGGGTACCAAATGGTGTCATCTGGCCAGTGCGGATGAGCTCCTCCCAGGCGGTCTCCTGGGCAGGCATGAGCATGCTGCCAAGGCAGGACGGGCCCGGCTCTGAAACAGAATGGAAATGAGGAGCAGCGTGAAACTTCCCATGTACATCAGAAATGTTCATTTATTCAATCAACAGGAGGCAACAACTACCAAGAGCTTATAAATTTAGTACACTAAAGCTTAGAGTAAAATTTATGACAGGATTTATCATGTCATATTTAATATATTCCTGTTCAAAAAATGATTTCTCAGGAACCTTTCTCCAAAAGATCACTCTGTATAAATTGGGTACATTCACATCACCACAAAACACTAATCAGCCATAACCAAAAACAAACAGCTCTCATCTGGGACAGCATAGATGGAACTGAAGATCATCATGTTAAGCGAAATAAGCACTCACGGAAAGACAAGCATGATTTCACTCAGCTGTGGAATCTCACAGAAGTTGAGAGCAGCCTGGTAGTTACGTTGGCCTGAGGAGAAGGCGTGGGAGGGAAAGATGGGGGCTGCCCACCTATGGGCACTATGCAAAGTCATAGACAGGGCAGGAAGTCAGGTGTGCCATCACACAGGAGGGTGATACAGTAACAACAACATATTCTGAAAAGCCAGAAGGAAGGAGTTTGAATGTTTTCACCACAGAGAAATAAATGTTTCGGGCGACAGATACTTCCAGGTTGATTTAAAGATTACACAATATATACATGTATCAAAATATTACAGTACTCATAAGTATACAGAAATGTTTATGATTATGTAGTAAAGTAAATTCTAATTCAAATAAAAATATCTCATCAGAAATATACTCTGTACACCCAAAGATAGGCTTATTAGTATATATATTAGTTATAGATATATTTAGCTACGTTTCCTTATCAGCCAAGGAAGAGGCCAAGCAGCAACCTCCCAAGTTCCCGTGTAACTGTTAATATACCAACATTCAGATGGACCTCAAGAGACAATAAAACTGAAAGTGGGTAGCTACGGGAACAGCACGTACCTCAACAGGAAAAGAAAAATGTTAGCTTTGCACTGCTCAACACAACAGTTACCTGTCACCTGTGGCTATTTAAATTTAGATTAGCTAAAATCTGAGCTCCACAACTGCACTCATCATAGTGCAAGTGCTCAAAAAATACAAAATTGACGGCTACTACCCAGATAACAGAGAACACTCCCCTCACTGCCAAACGTCTGCCAGACAAGGACTGACTAGAAGTGGTGAAGTAAAACGTGAAAGTATTCTACAAGTGTAACGTCACCCAGAAATCACTCCTGTCATTAGAGGAAACTGCTCTCCAGCTAAACAGGAAGGAATCTGTATTCTAAAATCTATGGATCTTGCAAGCCAATGGTACCACAGCCAGTTTTTCATTAAACTTGCCCTAAAATATGGAACAGAGGACGCACAAATTTTAAGCTCAATAAATACTCAGAAAAAAAAAATATATATATATATAGTCATACACCAGCATCCAGATCAAGTAACAGGAATCACTAGAAAGTCCAGAGGCAATGCTGGCCAAGTCGAACCTGGCTCTGAACCTGCTGCATAGATCCTGTCTGCTCCATGTCTGCCTGCTTTCTGTCAGCATTAATCTGAGCAATGCACACTGATCTGCTGAGTGAAACTGCAGGTGGTTAACTCTGTTATATGACCACAGTGTAATTCTGCCATTTCCGCTGTTAATACACATCTGGGTATTTTCCAGGTTTGGCTATGAACACTGCTGCTATGTAGTTTGTAATAGCTAAAACTTGGAAATAGCCCAGTTGCCCATCAACAGGAGATTGGATAAAGAATGGAGTACTACTCAGCCATAAAGAATGAGAAGCTAGAGTCATTTATAGGACAATGGATGCATATATTGAGGCCATACTCTTAAGTGAAATAAATAGGACACATGTGTAAATACCAAATAGTTTCTCTGGTGTGAAAAACTAAAAATGTAGATAAAGTTCAAATTGTATAACTGATAATGTAAAATTGGAAGAAAAGGGCTAAAGGAGTAGGGGAGTGGGAAGGGTAGGGGAAAGGAAAGAGGGGAAAAGAAAAACATGAGAAAAGGAAAAAATGGAAACAAAGTATTTGTAAAAAGGGAAGGGAGTACGGGGTGAAGGGAGGGCAGGGGTATGAGGAAAAAATAAGAACCAAAACACATCATGTACAGGTACAAGATACCAATGATAAATGTAACTGTACTGTATACCTAAAAAGTACCAGTAAACTTAAAGAAGATAAATAAATAAAATAATGCTGCTATGAATCCTTGGTACACATCCTTGGTGATAAATGTATACAATTCTCTGGGGTTGTTAAGCTTTAGCAGATACTGCCAAAGAGATCTGCAATGTGGTACTGTGTTAAGTTCCACGTACAGACTTAGTTCCAACTGTTCACTCCCTTGCATTTTACTCTGGCTGCTCCAGTAGGTTCCGGCGGGGCCACACTGCAGCCATAATTTGCATTTCCCTGATAACTAATGAGACAAAGTGCCTTTCATAGACTTGTTAATCTTCTGTGTAGAAAATGTTCCAGTCCTTGACCCATTTTTCTCTGCCTACCTTTAAAAAAAGGCTTAGTTCTTTAAACCTTCTAGTCTAAGGTCCAATTTCTACATGTTCTGCAAGTCCTTCTCCACTCTGCAGCTTACATTTCCACTCTCTAAATACTATCTCTAGACAAACAGAAGTCTTAGTTTTTATACAGTATACATAACAAATTTTTTCCTTTACAGAGAGATTTTTGTATTCTGTTTAAGTATCTGCCTACCCCAAAATCTTAAAAATATTTTCTCTATGTTATATTCTAAATGCTTTACTTTACCATTAACATTCAGATCTATAGTGTGCTTAGAATTTACTTGTATTTCTGTGCATGGTGCAATGGGTTTCACTGTGTTTTCATGTGAATTAACCCAGTGTCACCAGGTTTTTTTTCACAGCACTGCCAGCCATTTCTTTCACAGGTCAGATAGGCATGCATGGGTGGGCCAGCTGGCCAGGCCTCTATTCTGTCCCACTGGTCAGCCTGTGTACTCTTGTGCTAATAACACTGTTGTACGTACTGCAGCTTTATGACAAATCTTGACATTTGTTCCTCTTCAAGGTCACCTTGGTTATTCTTGGCCCAATGAAGCTTTGTACAAATTTTAAAATCGGCATGTTAATGATCTCTACCCTCAGCCTAAACTTCCTTCTTCATGTCCTTTGCCTTTAAAAAACAAAATCTGGGGCCAGAGATGTAGCTCAGTGGTCCCTTGCCTGCCTGGCAAGTGTAAGTTCTGAGTTTGACTCCCAGTACCAGAAAATAAAGAAATAAGAAACAAAAATCTGAAATTTATATTGGGATTTCACTGAAACTGCAGCTGGTTAGGAGAATGATATTATACTGCATCTTCCAATCCATGACCACAGTACACCTCTCAATTTACTTAAGGATTCATAAATTTTCAATGATACTGTTTTTAATATAGGAAACACTGTCAAAAACTGTAATTTTGCTAAATTTATTCATTCCTAGGGTTTCTTTGATTTTTGTTTCTCTGTATGGGGGATTGAACTCAGAACATGCTAGGCAAGCACGCTACCACTGAATTATATTCCTTCCCTTTTTAAATTTTGAAACAGGGTCTTACCAAGTTGTCCATGATGGCCTTGAAATTATAATCCCCCTGCCTCAGCCTCCCAATTAGCTAGGATTACAGGCATGTGCCACCATGACTAGCTTAGGTATTTGATTTAATCTGTAGCTAACATCTTTATTAAATTTTCCCCCCGGTGAACAAAAGTGACTTCTATATACTAGCCATGTATTCAGTGATACTGCTAAATTCAGGTGGTAATTCTAATAGCTTACTTGTTGCTTCTTTTAAAATATCTACATAAAGGATCGTGTATTACACAAATAATGGTGGCTTTCTTTCTTTCTCATCCTTATGCTGTGTGTGTCTTTTCTTCCATTCCTACACTATCTAGTACAATGTAGAACAGGAAAAGTGAGAGTGAACAGTCCCATCTCCCTTCCCAATTTCCTTTCGTCAGTAACTGGCCCTCATCCACCTACTTCCCAAAGAAGACTGTCAAGCAGTCTCAACCATTACCCTATGAAATGGATCACCCTTTGGAGAGGAAAGAAAGGAAATCTCTAGGCCACACATAGGCAGCAGGTGGGGCTACTGCATTACAGTATCCCCCCTGCACAGGTTCAGACAGACTTACAAGCTAAAGAAGGCAGCCAAGGCCCACACCTGGTTATGCAGAGCCAGCCCAGGGTGGGGCTCACAGGCACTCTGCTCCTCTGCCCCTACAGACAGGGTAAAAGAGAGAGCTCACTGAGAGAGGACACTCAAACGTTGCCTGGTGCCCTGCTGTAGAATGTAGCAATCAGGGGCTCAAATCACAGAGCTACAGATTTATACAATATCAGAATGTATATGGCTGCAAAAGCCAGGGAAATAAAAGAGATTATTCAAGTAGCAGAAGCAAAACAAGAAAGGGACTCAACAAGAAATCCTCAGAAACATCACATTTTAAGGTAATGCCAGAAAAGCAGCCAAAAATAACAATACAGGCAGTCAGAGTGTATAAAGGAAACCAGGAAAGAGGTTCTAGCAGGCACAGGAAGCATCAGCAACTGTGGACAACTGAAGGAAGTAAAGGTGGATAGGATTCTCGGATTCAAGAAGGTCTCTATCAATGCTAGACAAAGTCTTATCAAAGCAGCAACAGGAAGTGAGAAACAGTAGGTTTTAAGATAGCTAAACAGGAACAAATGCCCTTTGCCAAGGAGAGTACAGCACCCCACAGCAGACAGCCCTGGTCATAGTATTACAGATAGGTAACTTAGAGATCATGTAGGCAATTGGACAAGGCCAGCCCAGGAGGAGCCAACATGGAGGACAGTCAAGGAGTCAACATGGAGGACATCAAGACACATTCACTGAAAGCCAGAATTGTAAAAGGAGGGAAACTACTACACCCTTGTGCTTCCCATGGGGATAAATAGCAGTGATTGATATTTTAAATAGGTATCAATCACCTGGGTGGGGGACCAAGGTCTTAATCCAGCCTTTCCAGGAAATATCCCTGACTCCCACCCTTAATGAAAATCCTTATACGTTTGCTACATGACTTGCTCCTCCATTTCATCCCCCATTTAAGCAATATTACCTGGTGATGATACTTGTAATATTATTGGTTGGTCATGGTTTTGCCCCACTTCATGCCCATCTTGTAACTTTCCATTAGATTTTATAGCTTTGTCCCATTTCGTTCCTGCTTCACCATATGGCTTTGCTGTATAAAACATCTTTGAGAAGTGGAGTGGGTGGGCAACCCACTTTCCATCATTCCCCCTTCTGTTTTAAGACAGAAGCTTTCTTTCTCTCAATAAATTTTTCCTACTCTTAACCTAGAATTCATTCTTCGATTTCAGAGAACATGAACTTGCGTTTCAGATATCTAACAAATTTGGGAGTTACATCTCTTCCCCCTATATCAATAGAACTAATAAATCTTGTAAGACTGAATTTCAGAAGCACATCTAATACTTTTCTGTATGACCTGCAGTTATGCTCTTCATAATAATTCTCTTGTCTGAGCAATTAACCCTCTGGAGCTGGAAGAAAGTACTTGCTTAGAAAGCTTAAACAAATGATCTATTTTTCAAGCACTACATGACCACTAACCAACAATTTCTAAACACACAAACACACGTGCATACATATACACACATACACACACACACCTGAAAAAGACATTTAATTCCAGAGCTTATGCATTTTCCTAAAAGGTTTTCCCAAAGACAACCATCCAAAGCAGAAATGTGAAACTGCTCTAACCACAGTAGTTTCACCTGAAGGACTTTACTAGACAACTGAATGGACACTAGGAAAGCCTGCCAAATGCTCCTTAAAGAGACACAAGAGCAGCTCTGAAGATGCTGATTGATAATGCTGAGCATCCAAAATGTAATTCAATTGAGACGTTAGTTGTCTTTATCAATTTAGCAATAGAAGAGTGCTTAAGATTTCCAATTTATTAAATGTTAAACAAAATGTGCATAGCAGCCTCCAGCGAACAGAGTTAAAAATTTACTTTCATTCTCTAAAAACTCCATGTGACTCAAGAGGTTTCATCCTGCAGGGGATAAAATTTCCTAAGTCCATTCTGACACTAAAGCAAAGAAATGTTTTGTTTGTTTTGTGTTGTTTTCCCAAAGCCCAGGCAAAGATTAAAGAACACCCTTCATTGACCCCACAAAACCAGCACCACCTCATGAACCTGGGGAAGCTGCTGCTGGGTACCCTCACCTGCATCCTCCTCCTCCAGGCCACCATGCTCCAGCTCCACTCTCACCTCTGCTCCAACAAGGACAGCCTGGAGGCGCTTCTGCTTTGCAGTGATCTTCTTCAGCTGCTGTTCCTTGAGTGGTGAATACCAGATAAAGAACACAGCAAGGCAGGGATTTATTGTTAAATACAAAAAGACATCTCTATGAAAATTTAAAACTGTGATCATGAATAATGTGAAAATGAAACAGAAACCCCATACAACTCCTACTTTCCTGCAGCAAGTCCCTCCTCACAGCATGGCACTAGCTCTCCACGTGCCTGAGCTCATGGCACACATACTAACCACAGAAGGACTGTCCTACTCAGTCCCCCATGACACACTGGACAGACAGAACTTCTTGTGTTTCTGACCTCACCAGCCAATGGACTATGGAGGGCAGCAGGCCATAGGGATAAGAAACACAAACACAGATGTTAGTTAAGAGTCACTCCCCTCTGATAGCCCACAATATTTATGGTGTCCTTTACAGCATTCTGTCTAGTCACAAAACTTTCAAATACATGGCATTCTGCCATGCCTCATTACACCACCCACCTGAGATGAGTTTCTCTTTTTGGGGGCGCGGGTGTAACTGAGGATTGAACTCAGGTCCTTGCACTTGCAAAGAAGGCGGCAAAACCACTGAGCTAAATCCCTGGCCTCAGATGTGTTTCTATCTTGTCTCCCTTAAAACCATCAGAACTCAGCTTACCAATTAACTGGGCCTGGGATACTTGGCTCCTCTTCACAGGGAAAAGAAGATCTCAACTCTATCAGAGGTAAAGTGCTTGCCTCACAGGTATTGGATTCCCAGCACCACACACACAAAAAAATATTTCAACTCCAAATATGACTGCAGAGCAAGGCGAAGTCTTAAAACATAAATAGTACCTGCCAATGACCTGCAGTGTGTTTTGTTTTGTTTTTTATCAGTGTCTCAGCAAAATCCTACCTTCTCTCTGAACAGTCTATCTCTAAACATTGAGGAGCTACTGAGAATGGCGGCGCACGTCTGTAATCCCAGAACTCGGGAGGCTGAGGCAGGAGGATCACTGTGAGTTCGAGACCAGCCTGGCCTACACAGAGTTCCAGTTCAGTCTCAACTACATAGTGAAACCCTGTCTCAATCAATCAATCAATCAATCAATCAATCAATCAATCAATAAATAAATAAATAAATAAATAAATAAATAAAAACATTGAGGAGCTTCTAAAGATAAGTTTCATTAAGTTAAAGAAGGAGCACCGGGCTGGGGATTTAGCTCAGTGGTTCGGTGGCCTGCCTTGCAAGTTCAATCCCTGGTACCAAAAAAATTAAACAAAACAAAAAAAAAAAAGTTAAAGAAGGACCTTAAGAGGCCAAGTTTGGTCCTTTCCATACTGGAAACCCCATCCCACCAGAAGCCAAAGGTCAAAGGTTTCTGTCTATCTGTTTAATTCACATACTCCCAAAAGAGGCCAAATGTCCCCTTTCTGGTTTGGGGGACCCTGTGTACTCTGGGCTACTGCTAGCTCTAACCTCTGGACTGCTGTTCTCAAAGTAAGACAGAGAGGGGGTGAAGATAATCGATGGTGGTAGAAGGAAAAGGAGGGCCACACGAAGGGAGCCTGTACACACTCACACATGTGGAACTCAGCAACACAAAAGCTCTACCAGAACCAAAATGATCAAAACCAGTCATTCCTATCTACTGTAGGGTACTTCCACGAAGGGGTACATAAGCCCTAAAAAAAGTTTCAAACCTCATAAAAATATCGCCTTAACATCTTTAATATCCCTGAGTGCTGCCCCAGTGTGGCTGGGTGCTGACTAAGATCCAAGCAGGGATGAAGGGCCAGCCTCTCAGAAGAGAAAGCGGAGGTGTGTGAGGGGAAAGGTTACGTCAACTAGAAACAGTGGAGCCAATCTGCACAAGAGCTAAGCAGGAAAACAAAGTTCACCAAAAATGCAACTGAGTGAGAGCCCAACAGGCCCAGCAGGAGTTGAGTAGGATGATAACAGGAAGACTGTGTGGCAGGTCCAGGAGTGAAGAGGTCAAAGAGCCACACGGGAGCCTCTTGCACAGGGATCAGGGATGCAAGCACGCATGTATGTGTGCACTGAGCCAGTCCTATGCACTGCATGTGTAGGTTTTAAAAAACACTGTGTACAGAGGGTGCAACAGGGAAATTGCTGACAAATTATAAATATATAAAAGCAAGTCAATGGGTGATTTGGAATCACCTTATTATACTTCTGTCGTTTTACAGAATCCAGTTTCCTGTTGATGTCTCTGTTGGTAGCAGCTTGAGGGCTAAGTTGTTCAATAATTTTATTGATTTGCCGCAGAGATGTTGTACATGACCTGAAAAACAAAATAAATTGTCTATTTTCCACAATAGTAACATTTTTATAGTATAATCTAAAGAGAAAAATACTAAAAACATGCCTCTTACTTCTTTGAACTAAAAAATGAAAAAAACTAAATGAGAATACCTACGAATAGGTTAGAAGTGTAAGGTGATTATTAACATTTTTCTTCTCCGGCTAACTTAAATCAGTTCATTCCCATTTGTAAACAGATTCACTCCTTCTGTAAGGAATTCTGAGGGGCAGGGGTTGAGAAGTCATGGCAACCCTAATGCCTCAGCATCCCAACTCCTAGGACAGGCTTGTTCCACCACACCTTGCCCACCACATCATCCAAGTATTTTTTAAGTGTCTACTTTATTCAAAACACTGCACTATGTACAATAAATTGTCTTTTTATAAGAGGAAATGTATACATGGGTTTTTAAAACCTATTATGGAAGACTTTCAGAGTTTGAAAAAGTTCCAGAAGCACTTAAACATTTTCTTATATAAACCATACATCCATGACAGTACTTTTCTTTCACACAACCAGAAGATTCATTTACTATAGCATTAAACTTTGTGGTGTAAAGGGAAAGAAAATCAACTTAAAATAAATTACTCCTAAAGCAAACACCACAGAGTTAATAGTTCACAATTTCAGTCTTCTGGACACTTCTATAATTTGTTCTTTCTATCGATTTTAGATTTCAGGATAAACAATGCAAGTTATTGGCCATTTAAGGCACCAAATGTTACCGTCACATAGGGTCACCCTGCCTGAGCCTCTGTCACCACTGTAGAAGTGGACATATTCCAAGATCAAAGAAAAAGATGGCAAAGTAAAACCCTCTCTCAAAGAAAGCCAAAAAAAAAAAAAA